GGGCCCTCGGTGGAGCTCCCTATGGGGCCACGAAACGTGTGAGGGGTGTGCTGTGATAGTGGGAGGAGGGAGGGGGCAGAGGGAGGGGGCAGCGGGAGGGAGGAAGGAAGGAAGGAGTGAACGCGGGGCGCTGTCTCTTCAAAACGAGGACCCAACACCACAGGATGGTTGGGAAAAACGGCGTCGGAACCGGCAAAAACACGGCAAAACGGAACCGGCCCAGACACCCTCGAATGATGCAAAATTCACGACGGGGAATTGATCTATATTTTCGGCCTCCGGGGGCCCTTACCGGCCCTCGGGGCCGTCAAAAAACGACTCGGGATGCAAAACCAGTCCCGGGGAAGCGGTCGAGACTCCTGGGGAACCGCGTCATGAAAAATTATCCCAGTGAGACCCTACCTAGGAGTTGGAGCCCCTTGGAAAGCAGCATTAGTAGTAACAGTAAAGCTAAGCTAAAGCTAAGCTAAAGCTAAGCTAAAGCTAAGCTAAAGCTAAGCTAAAGCTAAGCTAAAGCTAAGCTAAAGTTAAGTTAAATCTGAGCTAAAGCAAAGCGACAGCGAAGCTAAAGCAAAGCTAAGGCTAAGCTAAATCTAAGCTAAAGCTAAGGTAAATCTAAGGTAAAGCTAAGGTAAAGCTAAGGTAAAGCTAAGCTACAGCTAAGCTAACGCTAAGCTAACGCTAAGCTAAAGTTAAGCTAAAGCTAAGCTAAAGCTAAGCTACATCTAAGCTAAAGCTAAGCTAAATCTAAGCTAAAACTAAGCTGAAGCTAAGCTAAAGCTAAGCTAAGGCTAAGCTAAAGCTAAGCTAAGGCTAAGCTAAAGCTAAGCTAAAGCTAAGGTAAAGCTAAGGTAAAGCTAAAGCTAAAGCTCCCAGGGGACTGGGGGAACCGCTCCCAAAGGACCGGGGGAACCGCCCGGGGCGATTTCCACTGCCCGGCCCCTTTAAGCAAAACGAGTAAGAACCCTTCCAGGCAGAGCCTAGGTAGGGAATTAATGACGTCAGGGGTCTGGGAGGTGGGAGTCGCACAGACGTACATTAGTTAAGAAGATATGCGAGCTTCGCCCTAAACATACGAAACAAATTCTGTTGAGCACCTCTTGCTCGCGAACCTATCCCGCCGAGTGTTCACTTTACGGTGCGCGGAGGCCGTTCTAAAAGAACGCAGTGCCGAAACATCACCTTTCGGACTGCGGCGTAAATTTCTTGAATCGGCGACAGAGCCCCCACCCTGGCGCGCGAAACGCGGAAGGGGCACTGCCAGGGGCGCTGCCAGGGGGTCCCAAGCGCGGATCCAAGAAGTCCGCGCGGAGCTCAGACAAATGTAATTATGTGCATGCAGTTGCTTGCCCTCCGACGGCTGCGAATCTAGTTTCATGCTGACGCCCCTGTCCCCGAAAAGAGGCCTCCAGAATGCCTCCCGCCCACGAAAACCCGGGCACGGCAGCAGGAGACGGAGAGAGAGAGAGAGAGAGAGAGAGAGTTACCAGCCTGGAACATATCCCTATCCCTATGCTGGGCACCTCCTCATCACGATGCCAATCTTAGGGATTCCCTTATTTTTGAGGGCGAATCCCTAAGATTGCCATCGCCTTTTGGCGTGTCAATCTTAGGGATCGGGATACGTTCCAGGCTGGTAAGATAGAGCAAGAGACATAGCCGCGCCCGCTTTGCCCAGGCCGGCGGCGGCCGCCCGTCCGTGTCGCACATGAGCGCCGCGAACAGGTTGAGGTACCTCGCCAGGCTCTCATGGGCGATGAGCGAGGGGGGGAAGAGGGAAGGGAGAAGGAGGATGAGGAGGAGGAGGAGGAGGAGGAGGAGGGAGGAGGAGGAGGAGGAGGGGAGGAGGAGGAGGAGGAGGACGGAGGAGGACGAAGGAGGAGGAGGGGGAGGATGAGGAGGAAGAGGAGGAGGAGGAGGAGGAGGAGGAGGAGGAGGAGGAGGAGGAGGAGGAGGACGGAGGAGGACGGAGGAGGACAAAGGAGGACAAAGGAGGACGGAGGAGGACAAAGGAGGAGGAGGAGGGGCGGGCCTTCTCAGAAGACTCGGAAGTCCCAGGGCCTTCCGCGAAGTCTTCTAAGCCTTCCCCGAAGACACCGAAAATCGATCAGAAGGCGCGAGGGCTTCTGGCAAGCCCCGCCGCCTCCTGAGAAGGCCCTCTCCTTCCCGTCCCCCCCCCCCCCGCTCGCCGTCGAACCCGAGGAACGCGAGGCGGGATGCCCCGGGGGAGCCCGCCACACTTCGGGCCTGGCGGCCGCGGCATGCAGTCGACACTCCTCGAAAGCACGATGCGGGACACCCAGGAAGTGCCAGCGCACCTCGGGCCCGTCGGCCGCGGGAGGCAACCGTCGCTCGTCGAAGGCACGGTGCGGGTATTGGCTGATTGTGGGCCACTGGCGACGTTCAACCTGGAACACCCGCGGCGAGGTCCCCAGCGAAGGGGTCGCCACCGCGGAGAGAACGCGTTTCACGGGCGCTTGTCTTGGGACCATTCGGCGCCGCGTTTCGAACCGGGGGGTGGCCCCCCCCCCAGCACTCGGCGCCGTCGATCAAAACCAGGGGGACTCCCCTCCCCCCCAACCCCCCCCCACCGAACCCCCCCCCCCCTCGGCGCTGGCGCCGGCGCCGGCGCTGGCGGCCGCCAGCAGCGCCCACGGCGGGGACGCAGCGACGATGACCAGAGGCAGCTCAAGGGGGGGGGTTCAAACCCCCCCCCCGTGGCGCCGAGGGGGGGGGGTTCAAAACGCCCCCCCCCCCCTCCCCCTCGGCGCCGGCGCCGGCGCTGGCGGCCGCCAGCAGCGACGCTCCCCGCCACCGCCGCCCGCCGCCGCAGGCGCCGGCTGACGCCGGCCCAGAAATGGAAATCGTCGTCCCCGCCGCCGTTGCCAGCCTCGGGGACCATCTGACCCCGGTCAGTCCTGACCCGGGTCAGTCAGGCCTTGCAGAATCCTGCAAGATCCTGCACCCAAACCCAGGTCAATGCGCAGGATCCTGCAATATCCTGCAGGATCCTGCACCCACGCCTGGGTCAATGCGACCCTGTCCATGCAGGATCCTGCAAGATCTGGCGCTCTGGCTGACCCCCGTTTGCACTGACCCCCGTCTCAAGGCTCCCGACAGCCGCCGCCGACGCAAGCGCCGGCCCGAGGAGAGGGGAAGCAGGGGGGGAAGGGGGCCCGGTCGAACCCCCCCCCCTCCATCCAGGGGGGGGGGTCCGGTTCCAACTCCCCTCTCCTCCAAGCGACCACAGAACGCGCTCTTTCCCACCGCGTCGACACGCGGCGTCCGTAGGACCGCGCAGCTGCGAGTACACGTCAGCAGCAAGGCCAGCCACAACGCACGGGGTGATGGGCCAGAACGGGAAGCAAGCCGGGAAGGGGAGCCTTGAACGGAATGCGAATCGGTACCGATGTGGGTGCAGGCTGGGGGCGGGGATCAGCATGCAGTGGTTAAATTTCTCCAGATGTAGGCGTGGGCTCCGAATGTGCTGGGGGAACACGTGCATTGTAGCCAGCTGCGTCGACTGTGGTCGGTAAAGGGGCCAAGGGCGCATCCGCGCCACCAGATGGCGAGGCAGAAGGGGGCCAGTTGCGAGCCGGGTGGGGCGATTAGCTCGAAAATGCGCAGACCAGAGTATGGAAATCAAGTTCCACATCTCGAGCATACGCAGGATGGCGTAACGACTGGAATCATGCAGACAGGCTCTCGATTATCGCTTCGACGTTGACGCGAGACTGATGGTCCCGCGGGTCTGTGCGAGCTTAAAAGGCGAGGTCGTCAGCGGTGATGACGGGGAGAACTCATACACACGCACCGACAGTGTTGTAGGAATGCGGGACCACCAGAGACACATCGGACATCGGACCTGCAGCTGTCGCGTGCTAGGGCGTCGAAGGCGGGCGCCGCAGCGCCAGGCATGTGGCGTGTGAGGCATTGGCAGATAAATCAACAGAAAGGCATGACAATGCACTGCTATACAGTGGGGGCCCGATTTCAAGAAACCTTCCACAGGAAACCCAATCCTCAGACCCCAGGACGTCCATCGATTTCTGGCGTGGGAACGTCACGCTCGCCCTGGCCAAACCACCGAAGCCCAAGAAACCCAGGGCACCCTGGAGGCAAGCAGGGTATTTCCTGGCATGGGCCTTCACTGGGAGGAGAGAGGAGGGAGGAAGGAGAGAGGAGACGACGACGACGGCGACGGCGACGACGACAATACAAACCGACAGACCACGTGATCCGTATTTTTGTTGTTTGCGTCGCCTCGGCCCGTGGCGCTCTCGCCCCGCGGGCGCGGGGGTCGGCGAGACGGCGGCGGCGGCGGCGCCGCGCGGGGCTGCGGGGTGGCGAGGGGGATAATGAAGGAGGAGGAGGAGGATTATGTTATTCCCATTGTACTTAAATAGAAACCAGAAAATGCACCCCGATAATAACCACCTCGACCCCGAAGCCGTTTAGTATACGCACTCAGGGAAGGAATCGAACAGGGCAAGGCTGTTCATTAAACGCCCAAGGCTGTTTAGTAAACGTCATTTGCTGGGTCCGGGTGTTTTTTTTTCCCTCCCTTGATTAAAGACCACATACCAGAAACAACCTCGAGCACCCAGAGAAAAATGTCGAACGAGTATCGCATCCTGGGGCCCGACGCGTGAAAGCCCTCCAATTTCGGTACTTCCTTGGTGCTCGAAATTCTTTCTGGTGAGCAAGGCTAAAGGTAGGTGGGAACATCAGAAAGATGGGGAAGAAGGAGGAGGAGGAGGAAGTGGAGGAGGAGATAGGGAAGGGGGCTCAGCCGTACGCCCGCGACCACCGACCACCGCTATGCCCTGCAAGCGGACAGCGTGCTTTTTTCGTGTCGCCTCGGCCCGCGGCGCTCTCACCCGGCGGGCGCGGGGGGGGGTGAGACGCCCGCGGCGGCGCCGCCGCGCGCGGCTGCGGGGTGGCGAGGGGAAAATGGGGAAGAAGGAGGAGGAAGCGGAGGAGGAGATCGGGAAAGGGGCTCAGCCGTACGCCCGCGACCACCGGCACAGGCTCGCGCGCGCCGCGTCCGGCCCGATCGCCGCACAACCGCGGGCCTGCCGGGCGCCAGCCGTGGCGGCGGCACCGCCGCCCACGAGCGGGAAGGCGCCCGGCACGGCCGCGGCGACGGCGGCGGCGGCCGCCAAGGCGCTCGCCGATGGCGTGCAGACCGTCCGCGCAGCAAGCTGCGGGGGGGTGCCCAGCGCCCACGCCGCCCTACCGCTCACGGGGTGAGCCCGGGGCGTCGTGTACCTCGGCGTCTCCTGCCCGGTCGGCGTCGGGCTCCGCGGCGGGCGCGCGGGCGGCGTCGGGCTCCGGGAGGGCCGCCTCCGCGAGGCGGGCGAGGCCGCGCCGGGCGGGGCCCGCGCCAGGACCTGCGCGACGGAGGCGGCGGGGGGCACCGCGCAGTGGCGCAGCGGGGGTGTTGTCGACTGCAGCGGAGTGGTTGACCGCCGCACCGGCGTGACCGCCCACTCCGCCGCCGCCGACACCCGCGGCGTGCCGCGCGCGGTGGGCAGCAGCAGCTGTGCGTGGGCCGCGGCGGGCGCCGCGGCGGCGGCGCGCCTGTCCACGACGTGCGGCGGGTATCCCACCGCGGACAGCACTGCCACCTGCGCTGGGGGCCACCCGCCCAACGTCGGCGGCGCGGCGGCCGCGGAGGCCCGGGAGCCAGCCGCCGCGGCCGCGCGGCCAGCGGGCGTCTGGCAGTACAGCCGCGGCGCCGCGGTGGTGGCGGTTGTGCCGATGCCTCGGGCTGGCGGCCGCGGGGACACGTGGCGGGCAGGCCTGCTGGCGGAGGCCGAGGCGGCCGCGGGGCGCTCCTCAGTGCGCGCGGACTCCGCGGGCGCCGCCCGCGGCTGCCCGCGAGCGCTCCCCACCAGCAGCGGGGGCGTGCCGCGGGAGGCTCCTCCCGGCGAGCGCCCTGGCGCCAGCGGCGTGGAGGGTCCGCTGGCTTGCGCTTCGCCCACGGAGGGCCGCCGCCGCGAGGGGCCGCCGCCAGCGGGCGCGCCAGCGGCAACACGGGGCGCGGGAGCGCTCCCGGGGCCGACGGGGGCCGACGCGGGCGTGACCAGGCGGCTGGAGGGCGGGAAAGTCCGCTCGATCGGCGTGGGCGGCTGCGAGGGGTTCTGCGACGCCGGCTCGGACACGGCGGCCGCCTTGGCGGGGCTGCTGCTCCCAGAGAGCGCCAGCCTGGGCCACGACAGGCCCTCGGCGGAATCCCAGGCCAGGTCGCGGCCGACGGGCTCAGCCCTTCTCCCGCTGGTCCCCGCCGCTGTCGAGCACGAGGTCCAGGCCGCCGCCGGCACCGGGGAGGTGCAGCACGACCCGGCCCTCCTCATGACGAAGCTGGTGCCACCCAGGTCGGGGGACCCGTGCACGAGCTCGTCAAAGTCGCCGCGGAGGTCGCGGCGGCCCCCGTCGAGATCTCCGGCCAAGGCCTGGCCTCGCGGGGAGGCCCCAGACGGCGCGGGAGCGCCCTCCGCGCACCGGCCGGGCCTCCAGCCGGTACCGCCGCTGCCGCCCTCCAGGAAGCTGCCCGAGGCGGAGAGGCCGCCGTCGCTGGCCGCGGAGCCCTCGGGCGGCAGGCCCTTGGCGCCGCCGCTCTCTGGCTTGGCGCCTGCCGGCTGGAGGTGGCTCCTGGGGCCCCGCGCGCCGAAGTGGCACCAAGTCTGCCCCACCTCGGCGTCGATCATCTCCAGTTCCTCGACCGTGCGCTTCCTGAGGTCGGCCTCCATCTGGTGCACGTCGTAGACGTACAGCTTCGGGTCCACGCGCTGCAGCGCTCGGCTGAAGTCCGCGCCCGTGGTCAGCAGGCCGTCCTCGTCGTAGATCGCCTGCCTCTCCACGGGGACGCCGAAGTACCGGGCCACGTTCTCTCGCAGGGTGCTCACGAAGGCGCCCGAGCGGATCATGCCGCCCATCGCCTCGACGTCGAACCAGTCGTGCAGCAGGCCGTGGACCTCCACCCGCAGCATGCGCGAGGAGCTGGGCGCGTGGGCCGCGGCGGCCTCCAGCGACTCGCTGGCGCACACCTGGAAGCCGATGGCGGCCGGGTCCCGCGGCGTGAACGGCTCCTCCGCCGACGCCAGCAGCTCGTCCAGGCTGCCGCGGCCTCGGGCCATCGGGCTCCACGGCCGAGGCCACTCGGGCACCGCGGGCCCGGTGCCGGCCGGCGGCGAGGGCACCCCGCGGAGGGGGTGGGCCGCTTGAGGCAAGATGGCGGGCGTGAGCATGAACAGTCCCTGTCTACACAGGGGCGGAAGCACAACACACAGGGATTCTGGGAAGCCATGCGGGGGCACCAGAGAAGGCCAATGAGGGAGTGCAGAGTGCGCCCTGGCGAAAGGCCCAACCATATACAAATGTGGGTAATTACCGCAACGTGGGTATCGTTTTTGGTGGATCTCCCTTTCGGGCTACGAACTGTGTGAGGGGTGTGTCGGAGTGAACGCGGTGGTGCCATGCAAACGAAGCCACTGCGGCCATCGGTGTAGTTCCCTATGGGGCCACGAAGCGTCTAAAAGGGTGTGCCGAAACGTCTGCGGCGGTGCCGTGCGAAAGCAGCCGCTCGGGCCTTCGGTGGAGCTCCCTATGGGGCCACGGCAGAAGGATGTGCCGAAATGGGTCGGGGGGACGCAAGCGAACTGCGCCACGGAGGCACTCGGTGGAGCCCCCTACGTGGCCATGAGGGGTGAACGGAAACGGGTCGGGTGGACACATGCGAACTGGGCCACGGAGGCACTCGGTTGAGCTCCCTATGGTGTCACGAAGCGTGTGAAGGGTGTGCCGAAATTTGTCAGGCGGACGCATGAGAACTGCGCCATAGAGGTACTCCATGGAGCTCCCGATGAAACCACGACATGTATGAGGGGTGTGAGGGGTGTACCTAAGTGGGTTGCGCCATCAAAGCACCCGGTAGAACTCCCTATGTGACCACGAACCGAACGAGAGGTGTGCCGAAATAGGTCGGGCGGACGCATGCAAACTGCGTCGCGGAGGCATTCGGTGGAGCTCCCTGTGGGGCGACAAACCGTTTGAGGGGTGAGCCACTGTGCCGACATGAGACGGGCGGACGCATGTGAACTGCGCCACCAAGGCACTCGGTGGAGCTCCCTATGTGGCCACGAATCGTGCGAGTGGCGTGCCGAAAAATAGGTGGGGCGGACGCGCGCAAACTGCGCCGCGAAAACATTCGATGTGGCTCCCCGTGGGGCGACGCACCGTGTGAAGGTTGTGCCGAAATAGCTCGGGCGGACGCACGCGAGCTGCGCAGCCAGGGCACTCGGTGGAACTCCCGATGGGGCCACGAAACGTGTAAGGGGTGTGCCGAAATGGGCTGGGCGGACGCATGCAAACGGCACCACGGAGGCGCTCGGTGGAGGTTCCTCTGGGGCCACGAGCGTGCAGTGTGTGCGCCAAAGCTGGTCGGGCGGACGTGCAAGCTGCGCCACAGTGGCACTCGGTGGAGCCCCCCGATGCGGCGACGAACCGTGTGGGGTGTGTGCCACAATTGGTCGGGCGGACGCATGCAAGCTGCGCCACCATGGCGCTTGGTGGATCTTCCACTGGGGCCACGAAACGTGTGAGGATGTCCCGAAATGGGTGGCGGCGACGGAGTGCCGAGTTTGACGTGCGGAGGGCACAGGGAAGATGATGGGAGGAGGGAGGAGGGCGAGGAGGAAGGTGAGATGAGGACGCGGGGAGTTGCCTGTTCAAAATGAGGGCCCAACACCACAGTGCACAAGGAATGACAACCATGCTGGCCATCCAGCCTAGACAAATCAGTAAATGCAACGGGCTGGCTCGGAGCAAGTAGTGCGACCATTTCAACGCAACCCCGCGCGATCCCCACAAAAACCACAGGGCGGATATGGCAAACGTCTTGTCGCCGCCGCGCAAAATTACTCCGGAATTTATAACATCAGGGCGGGCCTTATTTTTTGGGGTCTAATTTGAGCTGTCTGCAAGGTTCCGAAGGTCTGCGCACACGGCTTCCCGTTCACGGCTGGTATGGGGGAGGTCTCCTATCTATTTTGACACGTTAGGTCCTACAGCAGCGCAGCCCCGTTGGCAAATCCAACTGGTGGGCCACGCAGGGAAACGCGTTCGGACGGGAAAGCGACTCCGAGCTTCTTAAGAAGCGTCGGGGGGGCGTCACCCCCGCCGACAGCCCCACATCGACCTCCGTCGCGGGCAGCCACTGCTCGCCGAAGACGCTCCGACCCCCCTCGCGGCGCGACGACGAGGCGAGTTTGACCCCCGTTGGGGGGGTACCCCCCCCACGCTTATTAAGAAACCCAGAGTGAGCACAGCTCATAATCTGCACATGTTCATTTGGCGCGCGCAGGGCCTGGGCAACCAAAAGGCAAGCAAGCAGTCAGTCGAAGGGTCCGACTCTGCCCTGCTGGCGGACTTGTGAAACCGAGAATAGAACTGGATCGGGAGACCACATCGTGTACGCAGCGCTACTGAAGCCAACCCGTAAACAGCACTGGAGACTTCGTACGACATTTAGGGAATCCTGGGGCTTCCTGAAAGTGTTCTCGACTCACCGCTCCCCCAGACGCACCTCCAAGGCAACTGCGGGATACCGACAGCCAACCATGGGGCCCTGTTGACGTCCTCTGAGGGCCTCATGCTCGTCTGTTGCCCTTGGACCACTCCCTCTCCTACGAAAAAAGCTCGGCACGACGGAAGAGATGACGGCGGGGGCGGCGGCAACACCACGGCCACGCCGACGACGACGGCGGCGGCGATGGCGACGACGGCCGCGGCGGCGGCGGCGGCCACGACGACGAGCGGTAAGGCAGGGCACTGCCGCAGCTCCGCCCCGTGGCGCCCGGCCAGGGCGGTCTCGTCGAGCAGCCTGGGGGCGCCCGCGTCGCCGCCATCGTCCCCGTCGCCGATGCCCCCGTCTCCGTCGTCGTCGCCGGCGTCGTTGCCCTCGTCGCCGTCACCGCCGCCGACGCCGCCGTCGTCACCGTCCTCGTGGTTGTTGTCCGCCTCCCTCTCTCTTTCATGCCTCCTCCTCCTCGAAAGCAACCGACCCCTCTCCTGACTTGTACGAGAAGCGCATCGGAGGCGAACGTGCTGCCGCGTCGACTCGATCAACACACAAGCACACACGCACATGCACGCACATGCACACACAAATACACACAAACACTCACACACACACATACACACACACGCACACACACACGCACACACGCACACAAACACACACACGCACAAACACACACACACAAACACACACACACACACACGCAAACGCACACGCACACGCACACGCACACGCACACGCACACGCACACGCACACGCACACACACACACACACCTCGCATGGACCAGTTCTCAGCAGGCAATGACATTCGTGTTTCTCCTCTTGCTACTCCGACTCGTCCGCCTGCGTACCTCGTCAAACTCGTCCCTCCTTTGCAGCCTCCTCCTCCTCCTCTGCCTCCTCCTCCTCCTCCTCCTCCTCAGCACTGCTCCCCTCCTCACACCTCCTCCTCCTCCTCCTCCTCCTGTTCATCCTCCTCCTGCTTTCGCGTCCTGGCACGCGCTGACTTTTGCAGCGGGTGTACACCAGGACAGGACGGGTGAGGAGAGTCCGAACTTGCGCCGAAGTGCAACACTGGAGGGGACCTGCGAACCGTAGCCCCTGAGCCAGGCACTCACAGCATCGACGCAAGGAGCCCGCAGGGAGGAGGAGGGACGGGGAAGGAGGGCCAACCACGGCGCTGGACACATGCAACCTGGGACCCGACCGCCGGCGCGGAATACACATGCAGCCTGGGACCGGCCACCCGCACCGGCCGGCCCCAGGGGCGGCGAATCGCAAGGGAAGAGGGGACAATGAGGCGGACGAGAGGTGAGGACGGGGGGCGAGGGTCGGCGGCGCGCAGAAGGGGGTAGGGGGAGGGGGGAAGGCTTGTGAGGAGGAGGCCGCTTCCTGGCAGGCGCGGGCCTTACATTTACAGACAGGGAGCGCGCCTTCTGAGAAGCAGGGGGTGCTTCTAAGAAGCCCTCCCCCTTCCCCCTGCCCCCCTCTGCGCGCCGCCAGGTGGGTGGGGGGGGGGTCGCTGGTCTCCGTGCTGGTCGCCGTGGTGCTGATGACCCCCCCGCGTGCTGGCCAGCCTGCCGCTGCTGCTGCCGGCAGCCTAAGGGCTGGAGAGTGGCGCTGCTGAGCGCCACATCGGCGGCGCGGCAATGCAGAGCACCTTCAGGACGGGGAAGTTTGAGGGGGCCTTGGGATACACACACAAATAAATAGACGCATGTATCAGGATCCCCGATGCGTCCAAATACTTTCCAGGATGTTGTTTCTCCCCCCTTCCCATATTTGCCCATATTTTCGGGAGGATCGACGGTCAATTGTGTCTATGTGCTTTTCCCCCTCCTGAAGGTTCACGGCGTCCCCCCGCAGGGAGACGCTGCAGGGGAGCCACCCGCGCCAACCGCTGCGCCCATCAGCGCCCGCGCCGGCGGCGGGATGCACGGGTAGCCAACGCGGGGAAGGCGCCACTGCCGCTTCAGGCGCCGAGGGCCGCGAGCATCGCCTCCGCGCTGCCCACTTGGAGGAGGCAGCTCATCTGCTTCCAGGAGTACCGCAGCACCTCGGTGCGCCCAGCGCCCTCCAAGCCGTGCGCCCGGGAATGCACGTCAGCGACTGCAGCGTCCCCTGGGCGGCTGCCCGCCTCAAAGACCAGGGAAACCAGGTCGCCGCCGCGAGGTGGGTACCCTTGGCGCTTGGCGTCCTCTCGGGTCTGGGTTGCGGAACCGTCCCAGCCCGAGCGTGCCCGCTGGCGCGACTGGCGTCGCTTTGCGCGCAGGTGACGCTCGCGTCCAGGTAGACAACGTTGCCTGTGACCGTATCGCGCGTCGCGACGTCCAGCTGGACCAATTCGGTTCCAGGCCAGGACCAGCTGTTCTGCGGTTGCCGTGTAGCCCGAAAGTCGTGCAGCGCGTCCTGCGTCCACGTTCTGCAAGGGCCGCAGTGCACTCCCGTGCGTGTCGTCCGCGTCGGTCCAGCACGGCGCCGCAGAGCGTGCCGTCCTGCTTGCGGTGCTGACAGTGCCCCGGTCGTCCTCCCCCAGCGTCGAGAGCAGCTCGCTGCACACCCGCTCTCGTAGCAGCCCTGTCCAACATCCATGCCTGCCAGTCTGCGGCTCGTCCAAATAGCTGGCCCAGTCCACCGCGTCGATGGCGCCGCCGCTCTGCGCCCGCAGCCTCGTCTCCGCGCGCCTCGCGGCGTCTGCCACGGCGGGGGCAATTTGGCCGCGAAGCTCTGCCAGGAGGCTTCTCCCAGGCGTTAGCTCGGGCGTGTCCCCCTACAGGGAGACCTTGGGCGGCAAATGAAAACGACCTAGCTAATGCCTCAACCCGGCCCAAAAATATTCAAACATCGCCCTCGTGCTATTTTTCCATGTTTGAATTTTCCCTCCTGTAGAGGGACAGGCCCGACTTAAGAATAGCTGGCCCAATCCACGGCGTCGGTGGTGCCGCCGCTCTGCGCCCGCAGCCTCGCCTCCGCGCGCCGCGTGGCGTCTGCCGCGGCGGGGCAGTGGGCCGCGAAGCTCTGCCGGGGGGCTTCTCCCAAGCATGAGCTCGGGCGTGTCCCCCTCCAAGGGGATTTGGGGCGAAAAATCAAACATGCCCACCAAGTGCGCCAAAATGGTAAAACATTCATTCAATCATCGCCCCTGTGCTCGGGCGCGTCCCCCTGCAAGGGGGACCGTGGGCGACGCCTGCCACGGCGGGGTACTATCCCCCTGTGGGGCGGCGCCTGCTGCGGCGGGGCAGTGGGCCGCGGAGCTCCGCCGGGGGGCCCCTCCCAAACAGCACCCAACACGCTCTTGGGAGCGCGAGGCAGGGGCTGCTCAGGTTGGCGCCGCCGCGGCTGCCTCCGTGGCCGAAGCCATGCCCAAACCCTCCGCGTGCGAGCCGGAGGCAAAACAAGTTGCAAGCATGGCCAGGAAATGCTAGAACAAGTCTCAACTACCTTTTGGCTATTTTTGAATATTCCCCCAGTAGAGGGACAGGCTCGACTTGAGTCTAGGGGGCACCCGACGAAGTACTCCACCCCTCGGACAGCGGCCTCGTACAGTCGCCGTCTTCGCAGTTGGCTCGCAGGATGTGGGTGGCGCACCCTTTGCAATGTGCAGGAGGAGGGAGCTCTCGCGCGTGCCAAGGCCGGCCGATCGAAGATCACGGAGTCGCGAGATCAGCCTGTCAGCCGCCCGCACCGCCTCGACACCGTCGGTCCAGTCGTGCACAGCGAGGCGCGCGAGCGGGTCCTCGCTGTTCACCCAAGAGGGCGGAGACCCCCAAAGCAGCGTAAAGTGGGCTTCCTGAAGCGGGCGAGTCTCGGGGGCAGCTGTGTCGTCGGGTCCCGTGTCGAGGCCACCGTACTGCTCTCGTTGAGGGTGAGCCCTTCCGCTGTCAGGCCCAGAACGGCCACGTCGAGGCCCTGTTCGGCGACCGAAGCGGGAAGCACCACCATTAACGTCGTCACAATAAAAGAACAATGCTGTATGGGGCCAACTGCCAGCGGTCCCGCGAGGGCCAGGGCGAAGCTGCCTGGGGAGAGTGGGCAACCCTCTTCCTTCTCCTCCTCTTCCACTACCTGCCCCTCTAAGCCCATTGCAACTAGACGCTATGAATGCTACTCTCCTCTCTCCCCTGATCATCTGATCACGTCCGGAGGATGCTCGGACCCCCTCCGCGTACTTTACACACAAGATTTCCGGGAGTTGGGTTTTCGCAGTTGTTTTCAAAATGCTGCTCCCGCTGCAGCGCTGGCCTCATGTTCGGGCTTCCGCTCGTTCCAAATCGTGCTCCTGCTGCAACGCTGGCCTCATTTCTGCGCTTCCGCTCGTTCCGAATCGTGCTCCCACTGCAGCGCGGGCTTCATCGCCGCGCTTCCGCTCGTTCCGAGTCGTGCTCCCGCTGCAACGCTGGCGTCATTAGTTCCAATGCAATGCCATGCCAAGGCATGCAGTGTAATTATATGTGGTGTTACGCTGTGCGATGCCACGCCTTCAGCTGCAGTGCTAGGATATGCAGTGCTTGACAACGTAGTGCCACGCCATGCTATGCTATGCCGAGCTTTGATCTTCAAAGCCATGCTATGCCATGTTCTGTTATGTGCCGCTGTGCGATGCCGATGCCATTATTTGCGTTGCAATGCTTTGCGATGCAATTCTTCACTACGCAATGCCACGCCGTGCTATGACATACTACGCTCTGCCGTGCTCTTCTGCGCCCTGCTATGCCGTGCTCTACGATGCATCGCGCACCATCTCGGGATCATTGCCCTGCTCGACATCCGACTATGCGAATAGAGGGGAGATCTACGCCATGGTAAGGAATGGGAGGGAGGGGTAGGCGGTCAGATATGACGCGAGCGCACCTAGCTTGCCCTCCCCCTCTCCCCTCGTCGAACAACCCAAGAACGCCCTCCTTCTCACCTTCCTCTTCCCTCCTCTCCCTCTCCCTCTTCCGTGACAGGGGCGATGATGCGGAGGAGGGATGGACGAGACGGCGGCGAGACGGGAGGAACGCGAAGAATCCATGGAATTCATCCGGGCGGGACTCCTGAGTGAAAGCTCAGACCCTACCGTTCAGCACAGGCTCCGACAGCAGGTGCATCCAACCTATCTCGGCCAGGCGGTGCATCGAATCTAACTCGGCCAGGCAGCACATCCAACCTAACTCGGCCAAACAACTCAGGCTCCTGGGAACTGCACCCATGGTGAAAGCTCAGGGCCTAGACGCCTAGACCCCAGTTCAGGCTCCTGGGAACTCCATTCCATTTGTGGGCGGGAGCCCCATGTGCAGCCTGCTCAGGTTCTGCTTCCCTGTCTGACTCGGAAGAGGGGGCTGTACTCGGCAAGCTTGAAAGGGGCCTCCACACACAACACAACACAACACAACCCAACCAAACCCAACACAGCACAACGCAACACAACACATCGCAACACAGCACAACGAAACACACAACAACACACAGGCACACGGACACACAGACACACCGACACACAGACACACGAACACACACACACACATACCCACACGCCCACCCACCCACCCACCCACACACCCACTCACGCACGCACACACACAAGACACACAACACAACACACAACACACACAACCCACACAACCCACACAACCCACACAGGCACACAACACACACACAAAACACACGCACAACACACAACACACAACCCACAACGCACACAACCCACACAACGCACAGCATACAGACACACACACACGCACACACACACACAACCCCCACACAAACACACACACACAAACACACACACCACACACCACACACACACACACGCTCGCACGCACGCGCGCACGCACACAAGCACACACACACACACAACCACGCAACTTCTCGCACGAGGAGCAGCACAGCATACCTCGGTACACCTCGAGGTTGCGCGAGGGATCACAGAGGTGGGAGCTCGTATGGTTGCCTTCCTCGGCACCCACGGGGTCACACGGCACGATCCCAGCGGACGACTCAGCCTCGCCGGCGGGACCTGACCCCGCAGAGCCCCGACACACCACGGAAGGGAAAGGCATGAGAGGGCACAGGAGGACGAGCCAAGCCAAGACAGGAGCCATTACAAGCGGGAGGAGCAGGAGGAAAAAGAGGAGGGGGAGGAGGGGGAGGAGGAGGATGTGGAGAAGGGGGAGGAGGAGAGGGAGGAGGAGGAGGAGGAGGAGGAGGAGGAGGCTTCTGGAGGCCCTCGGCGCGGCCAGCTGAGGTGCAGCTCCACGAAGCCGGAGGGGACCTCGACCTCGGCGACGCGACCGCCTCTCGTCCGCCGATCCCCGCGGTCACACTCCTCGACCCTCCAGCGGCCCGCACTGTTTCGCCACTCCACCTCCTCCTCCTCCTCCTCCTTAGTCCAAGGACTCCAGCTCCAACTCCTTCTCCTCCTCCTTCTACATCCCATCTCCTCCTCCTCCTCCTCCTCCTCCTCCTTCTCCTCCTTCTCTCCATCGATTCCTCCTCCTCTCTCAACCTCCTCCCTGCTTCCCCAATCCCTCCCCTGATGTCCCCTCCTCCCTGCTCCCCGTCCCCGCTGCTCCTCTATTTCTATTGTTCCTGATCCTGGCCACCCCGTCCCCGGTCTCTCCTCAACTGCGTCCCGTCCCCCCTCCCTTATCCTGCGTCCCCCCCTCCCCGAGTGGATGCTTCTCCGTGACCAGGTGGGTTTTTTGGGGTGGCTGGGTGTTCGTAGTGAGGGCCACGGGGGCCCCAGAGAATTTGAAACGACGAGTGAGGCGGAGGGGGTGATGGGGATGAATTCCGACTACACCAGTAAAGAAGGAATCTTAAGAGCCTCCCTGGCGTCTCTGGAGAGCCTCCCTTGCGCCCTTACGAGCCTCTCCAGCGCCTCTGAAGAGCCCCAGCACAAGCCTTTTTTCTTTGCGCAGGCCCTAAGCTTTGGGCACCTCTTACGAACATACTTACAGCCTTGTCGGCACCAACTTGAAGCCTCTTCGGCGTCGTGTAATAGCAACTTCGGGGCAGATTGGAAGCCTCTGGGATGTTCGTGGACGCCTGTGACGTAACGAAGGTCCCAACCGTCTGCAGCTGTGTGCATCGCTAGGGGACGTCTCATCATACTGCGCACGGGGGGATGGAGGGAGCTGACGCCCTCTGTGGGGCACAAGATGCGTAAGGAGCGTGCCGAATAGGGCGGGGTGTCAAGATGAGCTCCACCACTGAGGCGTTAACTGTCACGTATTACTTGTTCCTGGTGGTAGCTTCGTTGAGGTGGTTTTCATATGTGGGCCCATTTACAACGAATTGCAATGTCCACAGATCTAGGCCGTGTTGCTGGAACAGAACGCCTCTGCTCCTCAGCGCAGGTTTGTTTCCGCATGCGTTACTGCTATAAGTCAGTTTGATGACCCTTGCACATTCAGTAAGTGGAATACTTTGCTAGTGAGGCTACGCTGAGCATGTATACGTATCGGGGTGTCTTGAAAACATGATTCACGCTTTGATCTCTGCTGCATCCATAGCCCGTTTGAGAGTGAGCACCCCCGATGATAGCAAAGAGGGGGTCACCGAGTCAGCTTGCGTGGCTGGCTTTCCCGTCGCCTCCCGCCGCCGCAAGCGCTCATGTATCGAGGCCCCGCGGCGGGGACGAAACCAGCTGAACGCAGCAGATTTCGTGCCTTCCCCCCTTCCAGTGGGGACGGGGATCGGTTAGACGATGCTGATCGTAACCGTCGTCATCGTCGTCGTCGTTGTTAACGTGGTCGCTGTCGCCAGGGGCATCGGCGTCGGTCGTCGCCATTGCCGTCGTCGGCGTTGTCGGCGTCGGCGTCGCCGCCGCTGCCATCGATCAACTGGCCAATCCGCAATCGTCAATCAATCAAAATCCGCACGCTGCACGTGCCTCGACCCCTCCAGGGGGCAATTCCCCCCCTCACCCCACCCCACCCGGCATCGATTATGTTGGTGGCCCAGGGGCCTCGATCTAGGATCGATGCTTCTGGACGTTTCTTTTGTTGCTGCGCCTCAGGGCCCCCGCCCAGAGACCACCGTCGCTGTCGTGGCGTCGTCGTGATGTCGTGGCGTCCCCTGGGGCCCGAAGCTGCGATAAGTTGCAGCATCGCGAACCATCACGACCCGAACCCCAGGCCCGATCTTTCTGCTGCGCTTTTTCCGAGGGCGGATTGATAATTATGTGATGACCCTGGGCCCCGAGATCGGGCGAGCATGCCCAGGAAACACCTGGGCCTCGGGGCCGCCGTGGTGTCGCTGCCGTCGCATCGCCGTCGGTGTCGTATCGTTGTGGCGTCGCCGTACCGACGTGTCGTCGTCGCGCCGTCGTGGCATCGTCGTGGCGTCGTTGGGTCGTCGTCGTCGTCGTCGTCGTCGTCGTCGTCGTCGTCGTCGTCGTCGCGTCGTCGCGTCGTCGTCGGCGTCGTGGCGTCGTCGTCGCGTCGTCGTCGTGGCGCCGTCGTCGCCGTTGCGGCGAGCGGCCGTACGGCCTCGACCACCTCCAGGCCCCCCTCGGGAGGCTTCCGCACGTCCATCGCCCACCTCGCGGCCCTGGGAGCCCCGAGCCAGGAGGGAGAGAGGATGGGGAGGAGGAGGAGGAGCCGGAGGAGGAGGAGGAGCCGGAGGAGGAGGAGGAGGAGGAGGAGGAGGAGGAGGAGGAGGAGGGCAGTTACTCCCCACTGTGCTCTGCCCCCTAATCTGGTAGTCATGGTCGAGTTTCGACTTGCCTCTGCCAAGGCTCCCTCCTTGCCCTGTTCGTGGGAGGGGTTTACCTCTCCCCCTCCTCCCTCGCCTTTGCCTGGGAAGGGTGGGGTGGGGGGGGGCGCGGGTAGTTAGAGCGCTCAAGATCGCCCAAGACGGCTGCAAGAGGGCCTCAGAGATCCTAAGATGGCTTTCCAAGATGGCTCAAGATAGGTCAAGGTGGCTCAAGAAATCCTCCGACATACCTCCAAAGACCCTGCCAAGAGATGACCCCTCTTTTGCTTTTTTGCTGGTTGTAGGGCCCTGAGCCCCACTGCCCCAACACGAGGGGGGGGAAGTCTACGATTTCCTGATTCGGGCAGCTCGCCTGGCAATCGCTACAACCGGTCCTGGGCGCAGCGCAAGGCAAGTGCCCGATAATCTTCTTCAGGAGGGGAAAAAACACACAGACACAATCAATCGTCGATTCCCAAGAAAATATAGGAAAATATGGGAGTTGGGGGGGAAGACAAAAACCCAGAAAATATAGGAAACTATGGGGGATCTTTTTATTTGTGTGTATTGATTTGTGTGTCCCAGGGCCCCTTCACTTTTTACGACGACGAACATTGCAAAACAACTGCAAGCAATCATCGCAGACGAGCCAAATAAAGCCGGAGCAGCAGGGGCACATTTCTTATATGGTTCGGCCAATTTCCCCTACCGTTTCTGCGCCCCTCATACGCTTCCACGGCGGCCCTTTCCACTGCATGATTCTACACTGCCCTCTTTCTAGCAACTCTGAAGGGGCCCCAAGACACACAAATAGATACACACAAATAAAAATATTCCCCATATTTTCCTATATTTCCTGGGTTTCTGTCTTCCCGCCCACTTCCCAAATTTTCCCATATTTTCTGGGGAATCGAGGATAAATTGTGTCTGTGTGTTTCTTTCCCTCCTGAAACTCCCCTGACGAATGTTTTTGAATGGGCTGGTGTGGATATTTTGTCACAGCCGCAGGCGAAGGCGCCAACGGCGAGTCGAGTCGGCTCGGGCTGCGAGCGGAGCTAATTGCCGGCGCGCGCGCAGGTAACAGCAGGACCTATCGCCGGGGGAAGCAGCTGCGCCGAGGGCCGTGCTGCAACCGCCGAGGCTGAGAAACGGCGCCGGGCGTGGGGACTGCAAGCTGCTGGGGCTGCCGGGAAGCTGCAAACGTGCAGGTACCCCGGGAGCTGGATCACCAGGTACGTGAATTGGACCTTGTCACCACAGGGCGCCAGAGGTTGGCGCGCCACAGACGTGACGAAGCGAAGGACTGCGTGACAGCGCTGGTGTGGGTTTTTTTTGATCGCGACCGCGAGCGGACACCCGCGCGGCGTCACAAAGTCGGGCAAAAAAGCGAGGGGCCGCTACGCCGAGCCGGCTACACTGCACCGCGGGCGGAGCAGGAGGGGGCGAAACGACGAAGAAAAGCTGGTGTGGATACTTTTTGGTCGCGGCCGCAAACGAAGAGCGCAGGCGGCGAGAGAAGTTGTCCGGGCCGACGGGCAAACCTAATTAGCTACAAGGCGCTCTGGCGTGGATATTTGTTTTGATCTGCGGCCCAAAGGACGGCTCCAGAGGGCGGGTAAATCTCGACAGGGGCGCAAAGCGAGACGATTGGCAACGAAGGCAGATAAGCCTCTGGTGTGGATACGCGAAGCGTCAAGAACTTCAAACTGCCGCCTGCTCTTTGTGTTGAACATTGACTCTAGTACAGCGGGTGGGGGACATTGCATTGGATTGGAGGGGTGGAGGTGTATGCTCAAGCGACCTGGCCTGCCCGCGCGGCACCTGTCCACGATGATACCTGACGAGCACGAGGCAGGCCTGCTCCCTACTGTACTTACAGTGCACGTGTAGTTAGTTCCCTGCTGTTCGCCTCCTCCTGTTATGAATGATTAGTGTTGTTATGTTGCAGAATATTGTTATGGTGCCCCTTCTTCTCTCCCCCTACTGACGGCTACGTCTCCGTGCCTACCAGGGCTTCTCTACTTTCCTGACTTTGTGCACTTCCAATTCTGCACGTGCCGTCAGCTTAATGTGTATCGCGCGTCGCTAAATGAGACTCCCCTTTTTTCCGCTGAATCACCAGAATAGAACGCTCCAGATCCGCTGCTTCATATTGCCAAGCGTAAAAAGGAGGAAGAGGATGAGGATGAGGATGAGGAGAGGGAGGAGGAGGAGGAGGAGGAAGGAGGAAGAGGAGGAGGAGGAGGAGGAGGAGGAGGAGGAGGAGGGGGAGGAGGAGGAGGAGGAGGAGGAGGAGGAAGAGGAGGAGGAGGAGGAGGAGGAGGCGAGAGGACAGAGGATCACGTTGGTTGAAGTGGTTGGCTCTTGCCGAACCCCTCGAAGCCCCCAGATGCCCCCAGGGGAGAAGAGTAAGAGGAGGATCAGGATAAGGGGATAGAGGAGCAGGCGAGATAATAACAAAGAGGCCGGGGGAGAGGAGGGAGCACGAATGAGGCAGGGCAAAGGAGAATGATGATGAGGAGGAAAGGGAGCAGAGGGAGAATGGTGGAAAAGGAGATTCGCGGATCGAGATTCGAGGGCACAGTTTGTGGACATGTCTGGCTCCTTTTTTCGCTCTGGCTCTGTGAGGAAGAGCCGGGAGGAGTGAGGATGAGGAGGAGACGATTCATGATGGAGACGGAGGTCCAAGGATCGAGGCTTGACGGTAAAAGTTTGGAACGCTCCTGGCTCGTTTCGAACCTCTCGCTGTGGAGGCAGCCGGAGGCCCCGCAGGAGCATAACTTCGAGGAAATATTGTAACGCTTGGTTTCGCTCGTCGTGTAAATACAGTCGGGGCGTTGACCTAAGGAACCCTAAATAAGGAACGAGGCCTCTTTTTCCCATAAGTTAAACTTCGATTTCCGATCGAAAACAGAAGGATAACCTGAGGCAATCTGTGAAACACTTAAGGAACACGGAGCCCCTCCCCAACGAAAAGGGTTCCTTCTTCAGGGCCCCGACTGTACCATTTCAATCATAGACACCTGCTCTGGTACAACCTGAACGGTGCCCAGGGACCCACACGCACACACACACACGCACACGCACATGCACACACACACATACACACATCTATACACACAAATCCCAGGGTCTCCCACATTTTCTCTTACTCATCTGGGTCTTCGACTTCCCCCCCACTTCCCATATTTTCCAATTTTTCCGGGGAATCGACGATGAATTGTGTCTGTGTGCTTCCCCCCCTGAGCATGGTCAGCCCGGGCGAGCAGGGAAGTAGGGAAGTGGCATTCGCACCGCGCAGATCCGGCAATTGTTGCCACTTCGAGGGGCGACGTTACGGGGGGGGGGGGGGGGAAACATCGACTTGGTATCATTACCAGCCTCGAACTTATCCCTATCACGAATGCGTACTGGGTCGGGCCAGTGGACTGCCAGGTACCCGTCGGCGATCCATGGGCGATTGCAGATCGATGCGTCTCCTCCTCCTCCTCCTCATCCGCCTCCTCCGCCTCCTCCTCCTCCTCCTCCTCCTCCTCTCCTCCTCCTCCTCCTCCTCCTCCTCCTCCTCCTCCTCCTCCTCCTCCTCCGCCCCTCCTCCTCCCCCTCCTCCTCCTCCTCCTCCTGCTCCTCCTCCTCCTCCTCCTCCTCCTCCTCCTCTTGTGTCTGTTGTTGTTCCCTCCCGGCGACCTCTGACACCGCCGGGGGTGCCCGAGCCTGGAGCGCCAACGAGGGCCCAAGGTGGCCCACAAATCTTTCAAAGGCACCCTAAGACAAGCACAGCGTCAGGTCTGGCCTGCCCCCCTACAGGCGCATTTTGGACGAAAAATCAAAACAAAGACTCGAAACATCGTCCCAAGACTGTTTCTTGTTGTAAAAAAACAAACTATGTTTGGATATTCCTCCTGTGGAGGGACAGGCCCGACTTAACCCTAAGACAAAGCACAACGGCCGAAGATGGCCGCAGGACGGCCAAGCAGGTCCTTCGACCGCCCAAGGAGACTGGAAGACTGCCCCCCAAGAGGACCTCCTCAAAGGCACCCTAAGACAAACACAACGGCCGAGGATGGCCGCAGGACGGCCAAGCAGGTCCTTCGACCGCCCAAGGAGACTGCCCCCCAAGAGGACCCCGGAAAAGCGCACTCCACGGATTTTCCGTAGTATGAGTTTGCACGGTTTTGGCACGCTTTCCCTTTCGTTCTCCAGAGCCTCGGGCCCTCCAGTTCGCCTCTGCCTCCGCTCCCTCCTCGAAGAGGATTGCCACGCGATGCCAGCCCGCCCGTAAGGAGGGGTAGTGTCCCAAGACTTGGCAACATAGGAAAAAAGACAGAGCATCCCTGACTGTGCCCCACCCTTGCAGAATCTCCTCAAAACAACCTCAGGGCCCGCTGGGACGCTGCGTGCCAGCTCGGCTGGAGCGCCCCAACATCGCCCAAAACTGGCTCACGGCCCTCCCGTAATCCTCGGCACGTTGGAAGGAATCGACTCATCATATCCAGCTGCGGCCAAAAGACACTTCGTATGATTTCTAACTCGCGGCAAGCATCACATCCGCAACCGTGTCGCGAGACATCGAATGGAATATCATCGCTCCCCTTCGGGTCCTCGATCTGGAATATCGTGCTGCAATGTCAGGGCCCCAGACCTCGGATTCCTGGGCCGTTCCGGACGTTTCCGAGCGCTCTAGGGTACTCCTGAGGTGCGTCGCGCTACTTTTCCAGGGGCCAAAGAAGCGCGGTTGGGGACCCACTCTTCCCACACTTCCTGATACAGTCACGAGGGCCATCCTAAGATTACCTTAGGACCTTCTGCGGCTGTCTCGGTTGGAAGCCCTGAAGGTCAGCCAGAAC